TCTCTCTCTCTCTCTTCCCCCCCCCTTCCCCCTTCCCTCCCCTCCCCTCCCAGCCCCACTTTATGCTGCTTGGGTCGAGGCAGCGGACGCGCGGCGACTCCGGATGGAGGAAAAGGCGGCCGCCCCTTTCGTCGTATCGAGCGCCATCGCACACGCGCTCGCGGCGCCGCGGTAACAGCAACCAAAAAAAAAATCACAATAGCAATCACAATCACAATCACAATTTCACTCCTCTGATGTTGTTATGAACCGACGATGACGAGGGGTCTCGAGCGGAATAAATTATATGTAATAAACAAAAATCCATAAATCATAATAGGCCGCGCACGCGTTACGCCGTGGCGAATGTGGACGGGACACCTGCGTGGGCCATCTCGTGGCTGGTGTGGCTGCTGCCCGACCGGTAATCGTGCTCGTGACATAATAAATATAATTATGATAATTATGCTGACGATAATGTATACTATTATTATTATTATGGGGCTGCCCAACCGGTATTCATCATAATAATATAAGTGCACTGTGAGGGGAGGGGGGGGAGGGGGTGGGGGGGAAGGGGTGATGTCAGGCAGTCAGAGAGAACAGGCAGTCAAAGCGAGTTGGTTCAGAAAAGGGGGGTTCTGGCTGGCGGTGCGACAAATCATCATGATGCTAAATATTACTGGTAGGGATTCAAGCTGGCGTCTGACTGTTCTGAATGTTGTGCTGGTCTTAGCGCTGCGTCGCCAATTGCCTGCTGCGTGCCTTACTCGGCTGCGCTGGCTTGGGTGCCACCGCGCGTGCCGATGAACCAATATATATTAGCGGTTGTCACACCGCCAGCCAGAACCCCCCTTCATTAATATATTAGCGGCAGCAGGCAATGGGCGACGCAGCGCTCAGACCAGCACAACTTCCAGGACAGTCTGGCGCCAGCTTGAATCCCTAATAATATATTAGTTGCTGCCCGACCGGTACTCATCATTCTGACAATAGCGACAATAATAATATTTAGGATGATGATGATAATTATGATAATTATGATAATTATGATTATAGTGATAATAATAAAAAACAATAACAACAATAATAACCTTAATAATCTTAATAAAAATACTAATACTAATAATAATAGGCTGCAGGACCGCTTCATTTTTTCGAGGAAGTGAGGCCAAGCGCATTGGCCGTGCTCGCGCTCCCGCCCGCTGCCTGTGGCGCAGCTCAGTATATAATTTATTCTGCTCGAGTCCTCTCATGGTCGTCGGTTTATAACGACGTCACTTTCGCAAGTGAATCCGCCGTTCCAGCCAGCCTGCACATTCAGCGTCGCGGTGATTCCGCCGGCCCTGCGGCTCAGAAGTGCATGCTGGGGATCGCGGGAAATATGAAAAAAAAAAATTGCTGCAGCGTTAAGGAGTTGAGCCTCATTGTACTTTTTATCCGGTGCAGAATTAGATGTAAATTATATTTCGCAAATAAGCCTAGTGCATCGCGCTGCTAAGCGAGCGCCCGGCTGGGGAACTACTCTACTCATACATAAATTATATAACATTTGGATTCCAGCTGATTCTTGTTACAGTTTATTATAGTTGTGTTGCTTATAGTTTTAAAAGATGAATAATTTGATTGACATTGTGACTAATATAGTTCCGGCCGTTACTGTAGGCGAGTAGGTACGACGACCCACCTCCGCTCAGCCTAGAGGTTTTAATTTTTGCAACCAATTAATTTGGCAACTTGCTTCATCTTCGCTAAAACAAAAATTATGATAGTAACTAACTAGTGACCTTCTTTAATATTTTCGAGCAATGACGCTGCGACGGCGCGAGGGTCGCCGCCCACCCCGCCCCACTGTCGATCCACGCCGATGCGCCCGCTAAGCGTTACTCCGCCATTGAGATTCGCTTCGCTCCACACTTGCTTGGCTGTTTCGCTGCGCTGGTCCGCGAGGCGAGGCGAAGACCAAGAGTGGCGTCGAGCTGCGCTGTCCGGTAAAATTGCGGCAACACAGTCGTGCTGTAACTGTTCGAACAGCCAGCGGCCGGAGCCGTCGAGACTGTGCATGGCGCAGCCGCCGCGCGAGTTCGTGCGCGCCAAGCCACAGCTCCACGCACATGCCACCCTCTCGTCCTCGCTCGCGCTCGAGCGCACGGCGCTAAAGTTAGCCAACGACACACGCGAGCAGTACCCCGTCCGTAAGCTGCCCACCGAGACTGCGCACACAGCCGGCGTCTTCGACTCGCGCTGGACGGACGCCGAGCTGGAGGCCGTGCACGCGCGGGAGCTGCTGCGGTACGCCGAGGTGGAGCTCGCCCGCCTCGTCGCCAAGCCCAGCACCGAGGGTGCGATGGCGCGGCGGTGAGCTCCCTCCCTCTCGTCCTAGTCCTGACTATCCCCCCCCCCTTATCCCCCATCCCCACCTCCATATCCACAGAGCGCTGACCTCCTTCCCCCTCCCCTTATACCCCCCCCCCTCCTCATTCATCGACAGCGTTGCCCTGCGCAATCCGCAGCATGCCCTCTCCGCCGCCTCGGCAAGCTCGCAGATCCGCCGCGCGCTTGACGACGTCACGCGCGACAAGCGACGCGCACGCACGGCGCAAGCGGGGCAGGGGATGCGCGGTCTGCTCGTGAGGGACGTGCACTCGCTCGAGGCCTCCGCGATGGGACGCACGCACTCGCAGCTGCGAATCCGGCTGAAAAGCAGCGGCAGCCTCCTGAGCAGGCAAGCCAGTCGCCACGCGCAGCGCGCACCCGCCTCGCCGTCCGGCTCGTCCGGGGTGTTCCTGCAGTCAGCCGCCAAGCTGATGCTCGGCGGGGGGCAGCTCTCATCCGTGTCGATCCCGTCGAAGCTCTACATGGGCTCCAACGGCTCGGAGGTGGACTACATCGCACTCGAGAGGAGGTGAGCTCCCTTCCTCTTGTCACTCACTGAATTCCAATCACCCATTGAAATAAATAATAATAATACTTTTTCTTACTTTCTTCCTAATTTCTTTCTTCCGAGAGTGATAGTATGAATGAAGAGCTCCCTTTCTCTCGTTCAAGTCCTGACTACCCCCCCCC